GCAGCTTCAAACTGAAAGGTTTTTTTATGTCAGTGATTTCAGAGACAAACAAACGTTAGAACAAACAACTAAAGGAATGGAATTTAAACCAATCACACATTTATTATTGTAATTTGGAAAGAAAAACAAAAAAGGAAAAAAAACACTAAGAGAATGAAGTTTAAAAGATGTTTTATTTTGAATTTGGAACGATTTGTGGCTCCACTCAGGTTTGGGAAAACTGCTTTAAGGAACTTTGTACTGTAGTACCGTTGCAGTACTCCATCAGTTTGTTGTACAGAGGTCACAGGTCACAGCAGACAGGAGCTGCTGTGACCTGTGACCTGTGACCTGTGACCTGTCTCACTTCTCTCACTAAATATAGTGATGACATCACGTTTCCTGCTCCTAGAACTGGATCCTCTAAACTCTAAACCCTCAGGGCAGTGAGGGGGATTCTGGGAGTTTCCCGGCCCTGACGTCAGCTCCGACCATCGATTGGTAACAGTATCTTCCAGTTTGGATGGAGCGGCTGAGCGCTGCCCTCTGCTCTACGGTCAGCTCTGATTCCAGTGGTCAGTCGTTACAGCTGTGGAGATGAGTTCACTTTTATAAAAGTGGAGAAGCCGCGGGAACAGGATGGAGTTTTGAACGTTTCCCTTCATCCAGTTAGAAGAAGAAGCTCAGACGTTGAACGATCAAAGTACGTCTGTGCGTTCGTACACGGTGGCTCTGGTTCCACACTTCACTTCCACTCGTTCATTAACTCCCAGTGACAAGTGTTGAATGAGTTACAAATGAGTCAATCACCAAAGTGCAGTAAACAGAAGTGATTCAGCTTCATCAACATCTGCTGCTGAAGACGTCACATCGATCAAAGTCAACCGGTTCAAACTGGATCTGTGACTAACGCTGCAGCCGACCAGCCCCGGGTGGAGTGGCTTCTTTGAACTTAAAAAGTGTTCAGAACCGAGGAGTGGGAGAACCTGGTTCTTTAAAATCGTCCTGACGTTCATCGATTCTCCACCTTTGTATCAGACAGACCTGATGTTCTGTCTTTTCCACCGACACGGTCGTAGATTAAAAGGCTGACGGTGAAACACATCCGACAGAGCAGCACTTCTATTTGGCTGTAGCAGCAGTGGGTTTGTTCCTGGGGGGA